TGCCAGGCCCTCCTCCTCCCACCCTCTGCTGGTGCCAGGCCCTCCCCTCTCCCGTCCATGGACCCACAGTCATCGCCTAATGCAGATTTGAACATGCCCCCCAAGCGTTTTTGAGAAGAGAGGACCCACAAATCCCTCACTGGGTGCACTAGGGGCCCCAGGAGCCTCCTCTGCAGGACTGATGCCTTGCTTTCCATGTGACAAAAGCCAATTGCTAAATCAATAAAATGTTTGTGCCGGGAAATGTGTGTTTGCTGTCTCCTCCCCTGCGCCCCCTGGGCCACTCCAAATCTGGGCTCTGGGTGCTCCGTCTGGTAGGAGCCAGACAATAAAGACGCTCTCCAATCCAAGTTCAGAGCAGCTGGACGCTCGCCTCCCTTCCCGACCGAGCGGCCCACCCTCCCCGCAGTGGGCAGCCCTCCAAGGCTGGGCCCAGGAGGCAGGTGTGGGTGCTGGAGGCTTGGACCTTGAGGGACATGGGCTCCTGCCCACATCCGGTCCCCTGCCCGTCCAGGTGAAGGGTGAGTTGGGAGCAGCAGAAACCCTGTTGGTCAAGAGCTGTGTGACAGTGTCCCCTGCAGGAGGACCACCACGGCCTGGGGCAGACACGGCCGGAATCTGTGCTGGAGGCTACGTGGGTGGGAGGACTAAGGGCAATGCTGCCCAAGAGTCCCCACAATCTGGGTGGACCCTGGGGCCCAGGACAGGGTGGACGCGCAGGCCAGGAGAGAGCCTGGAGCAGGACAGACCTGACCAGGAGCCCCCCTGCTGCTAAGCACCTAAGAAGGGAACGGATCACCTGTAGTGGGGCCTCCTCCCTGGCCAGCAGGCATGGGACAGAGGTAGAAGGGGTTCAAACTCCCCACAGCTGAGCGAAGGGAAGCCAGCGGCAACCCGCTCCGGACGCCACCTGCTCCTCCCCTGGGCCTCTCCACCCCCTGACGGTCACACTGCAGCCACCAGCATCATGGAGGAAGAGGGGACATCGGAGACTATGCAACGAAGGTTGGGTCTATCCTGTGGCCAGAACAAGTGCCCACAAACACAGTGGCTACAACAACGCAAATGTATTGTCTCACAGCTCTGGGGGCCAGAGCCTACCATGGGTCTCTCTGGGCTGAAGTCAAGGCGTGGGCGGGACTGGACCCTTCTGGAGGCTCCGGAAGAATCTGTCCCTTGTCCCCTTCGGCTCCTAGAGGTCCCCGCCACAGTCCACATTTGCATGCTCTAAGCCGACAGCCTAGCGTCTTGCTTCCATCTTCCCGGGGCCTCCTGTTCTGTAGCCCGGTCCCCCTGCCCCCTCATCAGTCCCTGTAATGACACTGGGCGCCTGGATGACCCGGGATCATCTCCCATCGCAAAACCCTTCATTGGCTCCCATCTTCAAGTCGCTTTGCCTGCAAGCATCATAGTCACAGGTTCTGGGATTAGGACGAGGACATCTCTGGGGACCACGGAAGTTGCCCATCGAGCCCTCTCTGCTGACTGGGAGAAGGAGCCATATTTTTCTTTTTGTTTTTAAAATATATTTTCATTGATTTCAGAGAGGAAGGGAGAGAGAGAGATCAAAGCATCAATGATGAGAGAGAATCATTGATCAGCTGCCTCCTACATGCCCCACACTGGGGATCGAGCCCGCAACCTGGGCATGTGCCCTTGACCAGAATCGACCCCGAGACCCTCCAGCCTGCAGGCCAACGCTCTATCCACTGAGCCAAACCGGCTAGGGCGGAGCCATATTTTTCAATGGAGCGTGCAGTTTTGACTTTAGCTGGAGGGGAGCAGGGGACCTGTTTACCTAAATGGGGTCAGGTCAGCAAACTAGTGATTGCCTTCAATCCCACCCAAAGCTGGTTAAGAACTGAACTCGTAAGTTCAAGGGACAATGTGGGACAAAGGAAGCCATGTGGCTGGGCACTAGGAGCACCCCTGTCACCCCAGAGGTGGCCTTTGAAGGGTCAGTCCCTGCCCTCTCTGCAGAAGGAACTTTCCAGAATCCTCGGGAACCACACCCAGAAGCAGTTTAGGGAAAGACACTGAAGGAGGGACGCGGCCACACTCGGTGAGCATCACACTCCGATATTTATTAGGCCTTGGCTGCTGGAGGGTGCGGGGCCTGGGCACTGTGGCATCTGCTGGTGGGATGAACTGGGGGCGAGTCCCTCAGCCTGGCTCGCTGGGATCCAGTGGCCGTGCTACAAAGTGGTCTGTGGGATCCAGGAGGTCGGAAGTGAATGTCTGGACCGACTCAGAGGAGTCTGTGCAACCGGCTGCTCCTGGCCCCATGAGGAGGGGTCCTGGGAGGCCACAGGCTCAGTGGCAAGACGGTGTGCAGCAGGGGACCTGTCTACAGATGAGGGTGTGGCAGGACGCTGGCTGCTTCCAGAGGACTGGCAGGAGGGGACATACACACATGGGCCTGCAGCTCACGGGCACACAGAAGGCTGCCTGGAGGCCCAGGGACCTGCAGCTGGTCGCCTGGCAGGGGCTGGGCACACAGCTGGCCAGGCTGCAGGAGGAGGGCTGCTGGGCAACATGGCGACAGGCAGCTGCAGGCCCATTGGCAGGAGGTGGCTGAGCTACACACTGGCAGGCACAGCAGAGCCGCATGGGGGGCACAGCAGGAGCTCCCGCAGCCCAGGGGTGGGCGGCAGGCAGCAACTCAGCCCAGGGGTCTAGTGGGGCAGCTGGTGTGGCACATGGTGGCATGGGGCTGGAGTGGGGTCAGGACAGAGGACAGGGCTGGTCTGCAGGCTCCTTCCCGGGGCGAGCGTTACACCAGGCCGCAGTGTCCCTGCAACCAGCCACATGGCGCCTTCCTCGTGGCTGCCTCGCCGGGTTCTCCTCCTCTTCCCGTTTCGTGTGCCTCTTCCTGGCTGAAGTGACCCCGTTCAGGAAGCTCATTCTTGGCTGCAGGTCGCCGAGACCCAGTGGCCCTACGATTTCTGGAACCAGAGCCCAGATTGGATAGTGAAGGGCCATCGTTGGGGGACACGGACCCAGCAATGATTTTCAAGGTCCTCCCCAATTTTAAATACCCTGTCCTCTGTCCACATAAGCACAGTCACACTCGCTGCACTGGGGGTCCCCCGTTTACATGTGGAAACTCAATGATTCAGAAGGTCTTCCCAACGCTGCTGGGCTCCGCAGGGCGAGCGCAAGGACCACGTCACCGCAAGGACCACGTCACCGCGATGACATAGTAACAGATGTAGCTTGGTGCCAGTCTGTGCTAAGTGTTTTACACGAACTGTCTCCTAATTGATTACTTATCCATCCAGCACTCTTCCAGGATGGGTGACGCGTGCCCGCCTGGTCACCGCAGACAGAGAAGCAGGCCTGCGAAATGGCTGTTTCACTCTGGAGTCCATGGTGCCAAGTAACGCTGGGGCTTTGGGGTTCTGGGATCTTCCATTTATCAGTTAGGGTTTTTTACATCAAATTTGGGGATTTTGCCCATATTTTTTCAAGACATTCATATGTCTCCATGTCATTCTCCTCTTGGGTTAAAAGTACCTCTACGTTAGTTTTTTTTTAATGTTCTCTCAGAGGCCCTTTTCTTAGTTCTGTTTCCTCTTCTTCAGATTAGATACTTTCTACTGAGTGTCTCCGAGTTCACCAACTCTTTCTTCTCCATCAGCTCGGGTGGCATGACCTGAATCGCTCCACCTGCGCCTGTGCCCTAGCACCTCAGACTATGGGGCTCCCCATTGCTCCCCGAGGGTGCCCATTCCTGCAGCAGTGCCCTCACATCCCCGGGTGCCTCTGCCTGGGACACTGCCCTTCACATCACCCAGTGCTGCTCAGCATCGCCTCTTCACAGAGGCCCAGCCGCCGCCAGCACCCCCCACTCTCTCTCCTGCCCCTGTTTTCCTCCCTGGAATTACTTTGCGCATTAATTTCTCCATCCGCGCGTTCACTCGTTGCCCTGGAAGGCTCCCGAGGCCAGGATGGCTCACTGCCTGCACACGGTGTGGACTGTTTGTTGCATAAACAAGTCAATTTCTGCATAGATTTTGGGCAAACTTTCTGCAAAGGGCAGATAGTGAGCATTTCGGGCTTTGCTGCCACAAGGCCTCTCCCATAACTGCTCAGCGGCTTGCGCCTCAGCAGCCCTAGACAGACGCAGGGACAGGGACATGGCTGTGTCCAACAAAGCTTTTATTCACACACGGCAGCAGCCAGATCCTTCCTGCAGACTTCGGTTTGCAGAGTCCTGCTCTAATGCCTTCTGTGCGGAATAAACGCTCAGCCTACATCACTGCCTCACGTCTTCATTGAGGGCATGAGACACAAATGGCTAAAAGGACACGGTTCTCGGAGCGAGCCAGGGTGCTCTGTGCACAAGAATGGCCTGGAGGAACCCCAGGAGCCCACGTAGTCAAACCAGAACACCCTGTTTACAGAGGGGACCCGGCCTCGGAGCCAAGCTTGTTTATGTGGAGCCTCACACAGGAGAGCGCGTCCCGGGAAAGAAGGTTCTGGAAACACGAGGAAGCAGCCGTGAGGAAGCAGGAGGAAGTCAACAGTCGTGCTTCCGTGTTGCCAGGTCGCCCACAGCCTGGGAATAAAGGCCGCCAGGGAAGGAGCCTGCAGACATCTCCGCCCTCACTCCCACCCCAGCCAGCCCACGACAACATGTGCCACACCAGCTGCCACACAGGCGGCCAGGCTGGCTGCTGCTCGCCCAGCCCTTGCCAGTCCTCCATCTGCCTGCCCATGAGCTGCAGGCCCACCGTGTGCACGGCCCCTTCCTGCCAGTCCTCCCTGTGCCTGCCCGTGAGCTGCAGGCCAGCTGTGTATGTACCCGTGAGCTGCCAGGCGCCCTGCTGGCCTGTGAGCTGCAAACCCATGGTGTGCATGGCTCCCTCCTGCCAGTCCTCCGTGTGCCTGCCTGTGAGCTGCAAGCCCGTCGTGTGTGTGGCCTCCTCCTGCCAGTCCTCTGGGTGTGTCCAGCCCTCCTGCCCCACCCTGGTCTGCAGACCCACCTCCTGTGGCATCCCTTCCTGCTGCTGACCACGAGCCTCCTCCCCAGCTGCTCCCAGTGCAGACAGGCCACACTGCGCTCTCGCACAGCCAGGCCTCAGCGGGCCTCCAGGTTCTGCATGAGGCAGATGAAAAGCACGTTTGACAAGCCCTCTGAACTCCAGGAGGGGACGGTGGCAGGCCATCTGGATCCCTTGTGGCCCTGGGCATCCCCTCAGGGAAGCCTGGCACTTAGGGCCCCCCTCTGGCTCCAGCAGGAAACCTCACCCGGTGTGAGCAAATAAACTTCTTTCTCCACGCAGCTGTCCCTCTGTTTTTCCTTCACATTTTCAAGTTCTTTCTTTGAAGGCAGATACCTGCCTAAGCACAGCAGCACCTCCTCAAAGAGCTCTCTCCGGAAAGCCCAGCTAAAAGTGGGGGTGTCCTCTGTGGGTGGAGGGGTGGGGGAAGGTGCCATCCACAAGGCTGCCACCAAAGACATTGTCAAAAGGGCAGAGGAAAAACTTCTCTCCAGCTGAGTGTGGGATGGAAAACAGTCCTGGGCCCTGGGTCATATAGAGTACCCTAAAGAATTGCTACAACAGGGGTGACAAGAACCAAGATGGCGGCATCGGTAAACGCCTGTACTCGCCACCTCCCACAACCACATCAAAATTACAACTAAAATACAGAACAACCATCATTCAGAACCACCTGGAAGCTGGCTGAATGGAAGTCCTACAACTAGAGAAGTAAAGAAGAAAGCACAATGAGACTAGTTGGAGGGGAGCCCGGGCTGAGCAGGCTGGTACAACACCCACGTGTGCGGTTTTTCAATCGGGAGGGAGGTTGTCTTTGTGGAAGCTGCCGGAGAAGGGAAAGGGGTCCCGGCCCCACACCAGACTCCCATCCCAGGGTCCAGAGCTGGAGGAAAAGTCCCCATAACTACAGGCTGTAAAAACCAGCAGGAATTGTGGCTGAGAGACATGGAGGCTGCTGGGGACCCAGCTGTTCCTATTAAAGGGCTGGCGCACAAACTTACTTGGACTCGATACCACTGAGCTCCAGCACCAGGTGGCTCTGGGGGACCCAGACACATACAGGGAGGAACTGGACTGTCTGGCATCCGGGCAGGAATCCAGGGGTGGCTTTCTTCCAGACATGGGTGCTCACAAGGCTCATTGTTCCCACGCCGGGGTCTCCTCTGTCGCAGGGCTGACTGGCAGCCATATCAGCGTGGCCCACACTGTTTGTTCTGCCCAGTCCAATTTGAAGCCCCACCCAAGTGGTATGCAGCAGCTTTTCCAAATGAATGGCTGGTCCTGGCTCAAGCTTTGCTAAAATCTCTTAAACAAGCTGCAGCTGGTGGCAGCCCCAAACCTATCAATAAAAGGTCCAAGACCTGGCACTAGCACCAGCCTGCCTTGCTTCACAGCTGGGCCTTGAATCCTGCACGGCAGCTCTCCCACTGTAGTCACAGCTGGTCCTCCCAGCCAATTGGCCTGGAGGTCAACTCCTCCCAGAGACGCCAACAGCAATCAAGGCTCAGCAACAAAACTGCACAAAGCCCACACAGGGGTGCATCTAGAGTGCCCAGCTGTGGTGACTGAGGAGGCTGAGCCACTGGGTCCTACAGGACACCTACTACACAAGGCCACTCTACCAATTTCAGGAGACATAGTAGCTCTACCCAATAGATAGAAACAAACACAGGGAAGCAGCCAAAATGAGGAGACAAAGAAACCTCACAAATGAAAGAAATGGAAGCAAGCAAACTATTAGAGACAAAGTTCAAAACCATGGTTATAAGGTTACTCAAGGATCTTCATGAGACTTTCAAGGATCTTAGTGAGAATGTCAAAGACATGAAAGAGGACCAGTCAGAAATTAAGCACACACTGAATCAAAGAACAATTTATAGGGATTCAAAAGTAGAGTAGAGGTTTCTAAGATTCAAATCAATGATTTGGAATATGAGGAAGCAAAAAATACCCAATCAGAAGAGAAAAAAAAAGAATAAAAAAATATGAAGTATAAGAAGCATCTGGGACAACCTCAAGTGTACCAACAGCAGCATTATGGGGGTGCCAAAAGGAGAAGAGAGAGCAAGCAAGATACTAAAAACCTATTTGAAGAAATAAAGACAGAAAACTTCCCCTACCTGGTGAAAGAAATAGGCTTACAAGTCCAGGAAGCACAGAGAGTCCCAAATAAGAGGAACCCAGAGAGGCCCAAACCAAGATACACCATAATTAAAATGCCAAGGGTTAAAGACAAAGAGAGAATCTTAAAAGCAGCAAGAGAAAAGCAGTTAGTTATCTACAAGGGAGCACCCATATGACTGTCAGCTGATTTCTCAACAGAAACTATGCAGGCCAGAAGGGAGTAGCAAGAAATATTCAAAGTGATGAATAGTAAGGACCTACAACCAAGATTACTCTACCCAGCAAAGCTCTCACTTAGAATTGAAGGTCAGATAAAGAGCTTCACAGACAAGAAAAAGCTAAAGGAGTTCATCACCACCAAACCAGTATTATATGAAATGTTGGAGGGTATTATTTAAGAAGAGGAAGAGGAAGAAGAAGGGGAAGGGGAAGAACAGAAAAATATGAACAATAAAATGGCAACAGATACATATATATCAATAATCAAATCTAAAAATCAAAATAAATGAACAAGAAATCTAATGAACAAAATTAACTAAATGGGTGAATATAATGGAATCAGAGGCATGGAAACATGGAACAGACTGATGATTCTCGCTCGCAGGCTCGCTCACTCAGCTCGCAGGCTCGCTCGCGTGGTATCATTAAGTACTCCCAGGGTGTGATTAAGTAATTAAGCTCAGGAGGCTCTGGGAGCCACCAGGTGCCTGCCCTTGAGGTTTTCGCAGAACCAGCTGGGCCAGAGCCTCTGCTCTTGTCCAGGGATGCTGGCCGCAGCCTGGGTTCCTCTCAGGCCCCCCACA